CTGGTCCCGTGAGCATTAGACAAAGTGGCGTCTTCTGGGGGATCTGGTCCCTAAATATTAGACAAAGTGGCAAATCTGTAGGAAGCCTGGAAAGGGAATAAAGTTGAGAAGCAGATCATCACCCCTTATCAAAGTCATTATCAGTTAAAAGTTCAAAGCGGAAAAACCTAAGAGACCTCCATTTTACAGACAGCAGCCCGAGACTGGAGATTGAGTGGAACCATGGTGACCCAGGTGTTTGGAAGGAGCACCACCTTCCCCTTCAATGCTCACTCCCTCCAGTCTGTCACAGTGACCACGCTTTCACCCTGCTAACCTCTGTCATTGTTGAAAAGTCTGCAGCCGAGTGCTAGGGTTCGATTCCTGCCTGTGCTTTTCTGACCCTAACCTGTGCTTCTCACTCGCCCTGTTTCCTAACCTGTAAAATGGGGACAGTAACAGATCTGTCCCCAGTGTTGTTGAAAGGACTGTCAGATGATGTCTACAAAATGCCTAGTGCAGGCAATGGTGGTCATTAAAGTATTCAATAAGTTCCCATTAAAGTTTTGAGTAGTTGTCTGAGGAGAGCTTGCAGCTTTCCTGGCCCCCATGCAGGGCCCAGGGATTGAACTCAGGTAGTCAGTCTTGGTGGCAAGCACCTTTTCCTGTTGAACCATCTTGCTGGATCTCAGGAGCTTTTTAATTTAAGGCATCATAGGACTTGGCCCTCAAGTGTTTTTTAAGTTATAACATAGGGGTTTTGGGGGGTTTGTTTTTGTTTTTCAGCTGCTTTCCTGGAAACAGGATCTAGGGAATCTGAATGGCCTTTCTAGGAGACGGAGTTAAGAAGCATTTTGTTTTAAGTTGTTCTTTGGAAGACACAGTAAGCTTGGCAAGGTGGTGCACAAAAATAGCACAAATAATTCCAGCACATGGAGTAGAGGCAGAAGGATCAGAAACACAAAATCGTGCTTGGCTACATAGAAAGTTTGAGGCCAGCCTGGGCTACATTAGGCCATGTTCCAAAAATAGACTGGGAAAGACAAAATCAATGACGAATGCATCCTAACATTTCAAATGCAAGGTTACAGTATTTGCACATAAACTTTTCTTTTTCCTGTTCCCTCTTTTCCCCATGCAAGAATCTTGTTTGCCATTGACGGCGGGAAGGCTGGACTGGAAATCGCTAGCATTTTCTAGTAGGTACTCGCTTGCTTAGTCTCACATGGTTCCCTCAGAATCACAGCCACGTTGCTGCCAACAGCACGACCGTTGAAAGAGTTTGAGGGTGATTGGATTTTATTTCTTGCATTTGATTTTTTTTGGGGGGGGGATCTTCCCCGTGGGGACTCCACAGTCAAATGTGTTGAAGATCGTCTGGAGCACCCTTGCTGTGTAGTTCTGCCATTTGAGTTTATTTGCTGCATGCCGTTTTTAGGGATTTTTTTTCCCTTTACGATCTGTTTTCCTCTAAATTAAATCTATAAAATCAGGTGCAAGCTGGGTGCGCACCTGCAAACCTAGCAGTCAGGAGACCGAGGCCGGCAGGAGGCCACCCTGGGCTGCAGGGAGACCCTGCTACCACCTGTATGAACAAAGTTTCAGGCCATTGTGAAGGAATGAAGGTTGGAAACACGCCAGGCTGTGGCTGAATTCACACTTCACAGACAAACACCAGGCTGGGCTCATTCTTTCTCTACCTCAAACAGCTGTGCTATGAATCCTTGTACATGCTTCTGCCTCCCCAGCATTTCCTTCAGGATTCATCTCTGGTAGTAGTGGTACAGAGTAAAGGAAAAAATCGTCTACAATTTTATGAAAATCTGCCGTTTCTTCCTCTTTAGTTTGTCTTCCTTTGCCAGATGTTTGCACAGCTGCTTTTCTGTGGGAGATATGGTAAACTGATAACTTTTTATTCGCATTCTCTCATGGCTTTAGACTGTTTTTTTCTCTAGATAGCTAACAAAACATTTATTTCCTGTTATTAGAAGCTATGTGTCAACTTTTTCATATGATAAATACTACAAATATTTTTTTCTTCCAACTTACTTTATTTTCAGTTTGTTCAATATGTCTCTTCCCAAGCAAAATATTTTTATTACAGCTATTCATTGACTAGGGTGGGCTGGACACGTGTGTACCACATGAATGTGGAAGCCAGAAGACAACTTGCGAAAGTTGATGCTCCCTCTACTACGTATGTCTTGGGGTGTGAACTCAGATCTCGGGCTTGGCGCTAAGCACGTTTACCTGCTGAACCACCTTGCTGGCCCACAAAATACTTTTATTCCTACCTAATTTTTTTTTCTCAATCCATCACCTGACTTATTGAACCTGGTTCCTTTCCAACTTTGGCCCACCCTGGACATCTTGGAGTCTTGTGGGGGTAAAAACGTCTGCTTTTCCCAGGCTCACTTGTTGAGAACATGTAGCCACAGGGGGCTCAGCAGAAAGCAAATGATGGCAGCTGAGCGTGGCATACAGCACCGTGTACTCTGGAGCCTCTAACTTCCTTACAATTGCTAACAGGTGTTCAATGGTGTCGGCAAGGAAAAAGTTCAAGCTGGGCCGGTTACAGGCTCTCCAAACTGGGTCTTCCTCCTCTAGGCTTCTAAATAAATTGATACATTGATGCAGGTTTACTAAGCACCAAGGCTTACACTGTGGGTACGGGTAAAGTAATTCATGGCATAAAACTAGATAGACTTCTGACACATTGTGGGGCTCCACACATAGGGAGAGCAGATTACATTCGCTTCCCCGGAGTGAGCTAATTAAGAGAATTCAATGAGAGTTCTGTTACCACTTCAGCTCTTCTACCTTCATTTCCTTACAGGTGCATAGCAACCGTGTAGCGCGTTCGCTACTCTTGGTTTTTAGATGTAAATCTCCAACTCCACCTCAGGGAAGAGGTTTGTGGCCTACATGTGGCAGTCTCCTCTGGAGATTGTGTGCGTGGCTTCGTCTTGGACCGTCTAATTTCCTATCATTTCGGCAGCGTCAGAAACAGGAGCCCTTGGCCGAAATGCTAGCGATAGAGGGCAGCTTGAGCCCAGTAATTTGAGATCAGCTTGGGCAACGTAGTGAGGCCTCCTGTCAGAAGCAGTGAGTTTATTCCACATTTATGATGTACTTTCTGTACGGTTTGGAGTCAGTCTTCCTGTGGTCCACAGAAAGGAAACAAGTCAGAGCTTGGAGACAGTGTCTGAGCATGCACCATACACTAGGCTAAAGGTCATGGGAATAACAGGAGTAGGGCAGCCTAATGTTTACACAACACAGCCCCACTCCTGGGCTCTTGAGGCAGGGAAGACTAATGGGTCACCTTGGAAACTCAGTGGTTGTCACAGGGACCTTGAATCCTGGGTGGCACTAGGTGACAAAGAAGACTCAGGGAGTAGGAAAAGTAGACATTGCACGAGTCCCAGGTGCCCTTGCTCTCTCTCACCCCTGTTCTGGCACCTCTGTGAGCTAGAGGACTCTGGCTTTCACACTGTCTCCTTCTTTTTGGTCATTTTTTTCAAAGGTGCAAAACTTTGGAATCTTCGTACTGCGAGAATCATATCCAGAAAATCACTGAAACTTTCAGTTTGAGCTAAAATAGCGGGAATTTGGAAAGTAATGTCCAACCTATTGTTGTTAAGGTATCGCTGCTACCCTGATGATTTTGAAACAATGCGGGCTAGTGGCTGGGGAGAAAGCTCAGTAGTTAGGGGCACCCGCTACTCTAGCAGAGGACCCCAATTCAGTTCCCAGCACCCACAGAGTGCACAGCCAGCTCTATGTAACTCCAGTTCCAGGGGGTCTGGCACCACAGATTCCAGGGGATTCTGGTCTCCACAGATGCTGTACACATTTGTAGCACTCACATACATGTGGACAAAACCCCTAAACACATTAAATAAAAATAAATACATATTTTAAAAATGCAAACCAACAAAAACACAGCTGCAGATTAAAACTCAGGACCTGCACCTGACTCTGAAAGCACAAGATCATCACACTCCACCTCAGGGCTGAATACCAGAGTGGAAAATGGTGCCATTGTATTTCTCTGTCAAAGGGAATTTATCTGAATTCAGAATCCATGGAAGCAACCTGTTTAATCTAAATTATCCAGGCTGTGCAATGCATGTGCCATCAACGAGGACTTGTGATCTTTTTGTCTTTGTACGGTGCAGTTTAAGTTTCATTTTGTAATTTTCTGAAAGGCGTCAAATACCAATAGCCTCTGGCTGCTCGTGAAATATTTATTTAGAAAATATTCCATCAAATATCCAAACAGCAGCTGAGCTCATAAATAATTGAGAACTGGAAAACTGAATTTTGCTCTTGTGAGCAGGGTGACGGTTGGGATGGTACCGTTCCGAGACCCGAAGGCAAACAGCAGGAGGGGACTGGTGAGCCAGGAACCTCCAGCGCAAATGGCCCCGCTTGGTTTTCCAAGAAATTTGCTTTGGGACCAAAATGATTGTTTTATCTCATGATTTCTACAAAACGGCACACATGTCTGCTCCCTTGGTCTCCTCCTTTTCTCAAGTTGATAAGCAATGGCTTGAGTCTTTAGGGAAGGGTGCAGATTTCCTTGGCATTGGCCAATAAGCAATTATCTTCGGGTGGAATTGTTTGTAGATTGTGCTTTTCATATTAAAAATTTGAAATTGGGTTTCAAGTTCAGGGTCAGTTATTTAGAAAAATTCAAATACTCTTAAATAAAAAAAATTTCTGCGTGGGAGAAGTGGCTCTGAGGGTAAAATCCCTTGCTGCCAAGCCAGGCAGACTGCCTTAAATCCCCAGAACCCACATAGTAGGAGGACACTCACGCCTGAAAGTTGTTCTCTGACTTCCAAATGTGCACCCCAGACGGCATGCACTCCATACATAGGAGAGCGGGTAAATCAATATTAAAAAGTGAAGGAACGGGAAAGGAAAAAAAGAAAAGCACAATCTGGACATCTGTAATTCAGTCCCTCTTCAGTACAGAAGAAGGTTTGCTGTACTTGCCTGGTGCACTGGCTGGAAGCAAAGCCCTTGAACCCTGCGAGGACTCTCAGCTTTTTTCCTTCTCTCTTCTACCACAGGTGCTGGCCTTGAGGGGAATACTGTTTCCTGTAGAAAGGAGCAGGGGACAGGGAGCCAGGTGAGAAGCACACAGTTAGTCTACAGCACGGCTGTCCTGTTGCCCAGCAAAGGGTTTTCCTTTTGTGCTTTATTTATTGTTGGTAAGGTTCCACTGAGCGGCCCACACTGATCTTGAACTTGAAGTACTCCGCCTCCAGCACATTTCCCTGACCTTCGATTCTCTTCCCCAGAGTAAAGATCTTCTTGAAGTTATGGGCATTGCAACCCCACTTACGGCTGCCAACTTCTCCCAGTCAGAGATGTCACAGGTTAGAGATTTTGTGTGTTTTAAATCCACATATATGATGATTTGCAGCACACACTGAACGTATTTATCCATATCTGTACATATGGCTTTGGTTCTTTCATTTTCATGGCTGGGTAGCATTATTCTATACAAAGAAGTCATTGTTTGTTTATCTATTCTTTTTTTTAATTTTTTTTATTTTTTTAAATCTATTCTTTTTAACATTATTTTCTCTTTATAGAAAAATGTTTCAGCAAATACCTTGCGCATGTCTCTCCTGTGATACAGGTGTCAGAATTTCTCCAGGACCCCTCTTCATGATCTGAACACATCAGTTACATGTGACTATTCCGTCTCTGAAATATTGCTCGACACTGAGAGCTCCAGATATAAGACACATATAAAAACTCAAAGACCTGGTCCCAAAATCTATAAAATACCTCATTACTTTTAAATATTGGCTGATGTGATTTGGTTACATGTAAAGCAGTGTGGAGGTCTATGAACACAGCGCAGTTGCCTACTGAGGCCGGAGGCATCGGATCCCCTGTAGCTGGAGTTACAGGTGGTTGTGAGCTGTCACGTGGGCGCTGAGACCCCAATGAAGGTCTTCCACAAGAACAGTATGTGCTCTTAACCATGGAGGCAGCTCTCCGGCCCCCCAAAGCAAGTTCAAATAAATGAGAGAAGAGGGAAAATGAAGAGGTCTGCTGTGGGACAGTGGTGTTCTATCCTGTCACTTGTATTTTAACTAAACGCTGATTGGCCAGTAGCCAGGCAGGAAGTATAGGTGGGGAAACTAGGAAGCAAGTAGAGGTAGGGCACTGAGAATTCTGGGAAGAGGGAAATTTCAGTCTGCAGCCATCACCCAGATGCAAAGGAAGCCAAACACAGAGCAAGCAAGATGTGACTGCCTTGCCGAAAAAGGTATCAAGTCACATGGCTAACACAGACAAGAATTATGGGTTGATATAAGTTATAAGAATTAATTAATAAGTAGCCTGAACTACTGGGCCAATCAGTTTATAATTAATGTAGACCTCTGTGTGTTTCTTTGGGGCTGAATGGCTGTGAGACCAGGTAGGACAAACCTCTGTTAACAACAACTTGCAGGAGCTGATTCTCTCTTACTAACATGTTGATCCCAGGGACTGACCTCAGGTGACTGGAGTCCTCAGATTTCCCAACAAGCCCCTTTGCCTGCTGAGCAATCTCGGCCCTATATTCTAGATATGAGCCCCTGTCTACAGAAGTACAGAAAGCAAAGATTTCTCTCCCTCTGTAAGTTGCCTGTCCACTCTGCTTATTGTTCTCCTGTTCCTCTTTTCAATGTCATGCAATCTCAATGTTAACCCGTGGGTGTTTCCCACCTTAGAGTCCTGCTGAAAACTTTGTTGCTTGTGTCTGTATCTCAAAGTGCTTTTCCTACGTTCCTCTGTTTCAGCACTTCAGATTTTAAAGTTTGTAATCCATTTTAATTGGTTTTTCTGCTATTCTCTTTTCCATATGCATGTGTATGTGTGTATGTGTGTATCTGTGTGTGCTTGTGTGTGTATGCATGCATGTGTATGTGCAAGGCACGTGGGTGTGTCTGTGTGTGTCTGTATGTGCTTGTGTGGATGTGTTTATGCATGCATGTGTATGTGCAAGGCACGTGGGTGTGTCTGTGTGTGTGGGTGTCTGCATGTGTGTCTGTACGTGCTTTGTGTGTGTGTGTGTCTATGCGTGCATGTGTGTGCATGTATATGTGTGTAGGCCCAAGGTTGGTGTTGGATATCTTTCTCGATTGCTCTCTGTAAATGGATTTATTTCCTCTAGTCCTTCATCTTCCTATTGAAATGAGTTTGGCATCTGCCCTGCCTCCACCCACCATCCCCCACTGATGAGGAAGTTTTACATTCTGTGTCTAGTGTTTTGTTTATCACTCCTAAAATTTTAGCATGCTGTCTTAGTGTCTGACATAACTGCATGTTTATTCAACCCCTGGAGAGACAAAATGACTCTCATTACCCCGCTCTGGTTTCTACTTATTTTCCCCATTTCTCTATCTGTTGGGTTTCTACTGTACAGTCAGTGACTGTTTTGTTAGCTATAAGCTTAACATTCATTCACAATCGTGCCTTGCTTTCCACCCCCCACCCCCCAGGGTTCACCTCCCTGCTTTCTGCAGCACATCCTTAATCAGCTCTTCAGCAAATCCACGGGCAGAGGACTCCCTTACTTCGTGCTTGCCAGTGAAGAATGGATTACACATGTCCTTTCCCACCGACACTTCTAAGTCACTTTTCTTGTCGTCCGGCTTTGGGTCATGGTCACCAGCCCATCCTGGCTGGAATGGTGCTCCTTGCTGCTGCCCTAAAACGGTCAGGGTCCTTGGAAGCTCCTTGGTCCCAGTAAATGGGAAGAACGTTTCGTCTCACCATGAACGTTTCTGTAGATCAATCTAATGAGTGCATATTCTTTTTTTTTTCCTTGTACGTACTCAAATAAGAAGGAGATTATATGATGAAAGCAACATGGAAAGAGTTTTTCAAAATGGAGTCTGGATGCCCCACAAAGGGGGGCTGTGCTTATTACGCCTCCAGCTGCTGCCTGAGAATGTGGACTCCGCCACCTCTGCTTTGCCTACGGGCAGCTGGAACTGCTCAGGCAACGGGACAATTACTTCACGGCCAGAGGCTCAAGATGCTAATCAAGAGGTCGCCGGACTCTGGTTTCGCGGGTGCTTTTACTGTGTGTGCACATTCTTTGTCTTGTGCGGTCCCTGTTGCTGCTTAGCCTTCAACGCCCCAGCTTTTCTGATTTCCCTCGGACACCGAAGCCGAGCTATACAGAGCTAATCAGAGCTATCCCTAGCTCTCCTTCCACAAAAGCCTTCTTTCTCCTTCAGTAGTTTCTGAATTCAGACAGATTGCGGTCTTAAGTAGTCTGTATTTTTACTGTTGAGAGTGTCTCTTTGAACTGGAGGTGGGAGATAAGGGAATAATATGCATGCTTGAAATCCCAGCACTTGGGAGGCCAGAGTAGGAGCTCAAGGTTTTCCTCAGCTAAACAGTGTATTCAAAACCAGCCTGCGCGACAGGAGACCGCCTCCAAAGCTTCCCGGCCACTGAAGCTGTTTTCCTCTTTCTTTTTCCCATACATCGCAATGATTGTCAGCACGTTAGGAAGTAAGCCGAGGGAAATAGGACTAAAAGGAAGAGATGCTTAATGAACAATATGCAAAACTTCCTTGGATTCTTTGGGTACTATCTGGGTTTAGTTATTAGCCTTCTCTCCGGAGGAGTGGGGACGCCCTTAGCGACCGCCTGTTAGAAACATCTTTCTGGGATTTGCTTTACTCCCAGCTAATTTCCCTTTTTCTATCCCCGACTGCTACCCTTGTCTTCTGACAACTTGGTGCTTTTTCTTCTTAGAATTCCCGTTGTTTAGTGGCCCGAATTACTGTTGGTCACTTTTTGCTGTTGCGACAGCATGCCTGAGCAAATCAACTTAAAGACGAAAAGCCATCTTGGCTCTCGGTTGTGGAGTTTTCCGCTCATGGTTGACCAGCTCTGTTGCTTTTAGGCTTGTGGCAAGGCAGAAACAGCACGGTAGAGCAAAGCATCTCATTCTGAGGTGTGGTGGGAGAAACCCGGAGCACGGGGCAAAATATTCTCCCAAAGGCCGGCCTCTGACTAGACACGCCTCCAACCAGGCCCCGCCTCCACCACGCCCAATTGCTCTAGTAGCTAGAGGCCAACCTTCAACACACAGGCTCCGGGACATTTCAGATTCAAACCACGGCAATACCTAGTTCTTTTTAGCCTCTCTTGTTCAATACTCACCATCAATCAAAGGCTTGGATTTTGACTTTCTACAGTTGACTATGTCAAGTGTGGAGCCAAGTTCCAGGTTGCAGAAACTTGTGGACTTTGGCTGACTTCTTTCCTTTTTGTCTTGGCCTTGTATACTCAATTTGCCATTTTTCTCTTTGCTTTCATTTTGGTGAGTTTCAGAAGTCAATATGAATGCAACTGGTTAATTGTTCTCATTTTACCACAATCTCTGACTTATATATAATAATTTTTTCTTTCTAGTGGTTCTGTTTAGATTTTGTAAAGTCTGGAATTTTTCCATCCGACGATATTTTGGTACTATTTGAGAAAATTATTCAATTATAAAACATTTTAAGTGTGGATGTCTCGGCTAGCAGCCTCAGGTACTACCCAATGACAGTCTTAGCCTTTAGTTTAGCGGAAGTCAGGGGTGTATATATACGCATTCAAAAGGAATTTTATTCTATATTCATATTTATGTCACCAAATGTGTGGATCTTCTCCACCATGAGAGATTCCCCAATTCTCTGAACCCTAAATTAAATTTGACCATGGTTTACCTGGAGTTAGCATCAGAGCCCGCAGTGGAAAGAAGGCTCAGTGTAGTCCTTGCAAGGTCAGAGAATGGCATGAGATTAAGGGACTGACATCAAATTGTTATTTCTTTGGGGTGAGGATTAAAGCAGAGAGAAACGTCAGTATAGCACAAATGATACAGGCCGGTTGGGGAATTTAGTTTTGCTCTTTTTAATCTGATCCCTCAGGTATGACATACGTCTTGGTTTGTTGGGGAGAATGCAGGATCTGAGTTCCGTGTCTTCAACAGAACCCAAAGCCGGTAGTTTTTTCCTAAACCTTTCGTCTCAGATCAATAGGGATCTGGCCTATTCTCACCAAAACTCCTCCATTGTCTTAGTTGTTTTATTATTATTGCTTGCTATTATTGTTGTGTGTGATGTGTGTGTGCATGACGTGTGTGGAGGAAGGCGTGTCCACAACACGTGTGGAGATCAGAAGACAAGTTTGTTCTTTCCTTCTATATTTCCATGGGGTCAGAGACTCAAACTCGGGCCCCAGGTTTACACAGCAAACCCCTTTACCTGTGGAGCCATCTGGCAGGAGCCCCCTGTGTGCTTTAATGCTGCCTGAATTTCCGTGTTCTTAGGTCATCAGTGGATAATGTGTGCAGTGAGAGTCTGTCGAAAGTGGTCTCGTGGGCTGAGTACACAGGGAAGCTCTTCCCACGGTCTCATTTCTACACGTGGCAATTCTTAGCCTGAGAGCTGAGTTGAATCTATGCAGGCATAGAACCAGAGCTTTGATCTCAGTGGCCTGCTTTCATCACCAGGTGAAAGGCTTCCTCCCCTGCTTCCTGTCTTTCTGAAAGACATTTCCGTTTAGGTAGAACTCTGAGATTGCTACTTTTCCTCCACGGGGAGTTAAGACCCAGAGAGTTGTGGAGACTTAATAACCAGCTGCCTCAGAAAAACTCCTGCAATGGCTGACTTAGGGCTTAGTTCCTGATTCATCCTACACCTGGAATTTGCACCCTGACCCTTTTCTCTCTTCCTCAGATGATTATTTGCTTCTGTTTCTCTTTTTTTTAAATGTCTAGGGGAGGGGCTACCCTTGTTTCTGGGCCTGCTCTTTTTATTTGCCTCTGAAAAACTGGGTTAAAAAAAAGTTTAAAAATGCAAAGACAGATGAGGAAAATGAACAGTTATTACTATAACAAAGAAGTTGTCTTTTATGTAATGAAACACAAACTACCTAAGAAAGGGGGCTAAAGAGAAAAGTGTGATTAAAGACTATAACTGAGCGAAGGAGATGGCTCAGGAATAAGGGCACTTGCCACCAAGCCTGATGACCCGAGTTTGATCCCTGGAACCCACATGGAGGAAAGAGACAAATGAATTTTGCAAGTTGTTCTATAATCTCCATGCTTGTACTATGGTGCGCGCACGCACACACACACACACACACACACACACACACACACACACACTACATATGCACACACATGCACACATGTATTAATAGGGATTCAGAAATGAGGTGTTTCAGACAAACATCAACTTACTAAGTATTTCGATTTCATGCAGTACGCTTCAAAGTACTGGGAAAAACAAAATGTTCTAAAATCTATCGATCTCCCAGCTAGGACAGGGAGGCCGTGCTAGCTGCTGGAATGAAGCGGCTCCCTGAGTGGTGGACCAAGAACAGGCACAAATAAAAAGGGGGGTGGGTGCCCACCTTTCAGTGCCATATTGTGGATCCGTCAGAGAATGAATCCATTGATACAGTCACTTTCCATAATTCCACGACGGCAGCCAAGTCTCCAACATGTGAGCTTGAGGAAGACATTTCACATTCAAAGTCCCTCACTCAAATAAAGTTGGCTACAATCCCTCCAACCTGATGGTCCCTTTAATCTTAGGAAGCTTTGGGGTCCAGAGTACTAGTCAGCACACCAGCACCCAGATCTTTAAGTGTTGTATTTGCTTTCTTTCCAAGGCAGGAGCTTTCTCTCACCCACACTGTGAAGTGCATTCGATTGGATGACTGGATACAAAGTCACCAGAAAGATTACCGTGGGTGAAGCTACAAGGCTCTGCTTCTGGACACAGGCCCTTCACCAACGACATCCTTGCCTGTAGACCCAAGTAGAGTAGACACAACAAAGACGCCCGGACTGCACTTTCTTTGGACCTCTAACAATGTAAATGGTTGATTACTAGGTATGACTAGCATGTGCACTCCCATTTCTTGGCTATGTGAAATACCATTTTTATGGATGAAAAAAAGGGTAAAATGTCTCTCCAAACTTAATAACTTTCTTAGAAAGGAAATCTAAGCCCCCCCCCCTTTTTTCAAACACTTCTTTTTTCTTGGGGGTTGGTTTTTCGAGACAGGGTTTCTCTGTAACAGTCCTGCCTATCCTGGAATTCACTTTGTAGACCAGGCTGGCCTTGAACTCACTGAGATACACCTACCTCTGCCTCCCAATTGCTGGGATTAAAGGCGTGCACTGCCACCACCTGGCTTCCAAGCTTTTCTTAATCCTCACTAGGTGTAGGCTCCTCTCCAACTTTCCCCTGGGTTAGCTCCTGAAAAACTAGCCTTCAGCTTACAATAACATAGAACTTTAATTGATAAACAACATCAAGTGAGTTGGAATACCCAGAGGCTAGCCACCGATTCAGGAATAGGCTAATCCTTCACTTCAAGAGTTCAAACAAGTAACGAAACATGAACCAGAGTCATACACACTGAGTCTTGAGACGCTAGAGACCTGTGTACTCCTTGGAGTTTAAGCTGAGAAAATGGAAAAGACACACGCGGAACCTCTACGTCTTTAGTCAGGTTCTGCTTGTTATCCTGGCTATGTGTTGGGGACAGTACATAAGAGGGAGGTACTGGAGAATACTAAACGTCAAGCCCCTGCCTCGTTCCTTCAGCTACTGGCACTCCAAGTGATGATGACAGAACTTTGCTCACCAAGGGCTGCAGCGGGCTCTCGGCAAAGACTCCTCCCTTCACTAGATGGCAGGCAGACAGAACTTGAGAAAGGGTCCTGTTCTTGGGAGAAGGGGCATGCAAGCCATATCTCTCATTCACAGTAGTGCTGACTGGATCTTTGACTTCTTCAGCTTGGGGAAACTCCTGCCCTC